TAGCCATTTGTGTATCTTCTTGGGGGAATGTCTGTTCAAGTGCTTTGCCCTAATTTCACTTAATTAACTTGAACTTAAATGTATATGGCCACCTGTGGCTAGCGTCCTGGCCAGCATATGTCTACATGCCCCCTGCACACCCACCACTGGGGTATTCTGCAGTAAATCACAGGCATTCTATCATTTTTCCCCTAAATATTTCAGGATGTATTTGTAAAAGGTAAGGGTTCTGAAGAGGGAAGAAAGAACATGGTTTCATTACTACACCTAGAATTTTTTTAAAAAAATATATTGTTTGCCCTGGCTGGTTTGGCTCACTAGATAGAGTGTCAGCCTGGGGACTGAAGGGTCCCAGGGCCTGTGGCTAGCATCCTGGCCATCATATGTCTACATGCCCCCGCACACCCACCACTGGGGTATTTTGCAGTAAATCAAAGGCATTCTATCATTTTTCCCCTAAATATTTCAGGATGTATTTGTAAAAGGTAAGGGTTCTGAAGAGGGAAGAAAGAACACAGTTTCATTACTACACCTAGAATATTTTTTTAAAAATATATTGTTACTGATTTCAGAGAGGAAGGAAGAGGGAGAGAGAGAAACATCCATGATGAGAGAGAATCATTGATCAGCTGCCTCCTGCAAGTCCCCCACTGGGGATCGAGCCCACAACCCAGGCCTGTGCCCTTGACTGGAATCGAACCTGGGACCTTTCAGTTCGCAGGCCCATGCTCTATCCACTGAGCCAAACCGGCCAGGGCTACACCTAGAATCTTAATCACAATCCGTTAGTATCATAAATATCCAGGCAGCGCTCATGTTATCTTTTTCAACAGTTGGGTTTCTTTTGTGGCCTTAAAGGCTGCCTCTGCCTGCTGGCCGTGAGCACAGGGGCGTGGGCACATTTCATCCCTGTGTGCGGCCCCTGGTTCCCCCTACCCGCTCTGTGTAGCCTTCATGATCTCACCTGAGAAATGGGGTAGTGATCGGGGCTTGGAAGGCTTCAGGGAGACTTGGTGCCGGCAGCTTAAGCCGGACCGTGTGCATAACCCACGGCTGAAGCAGATGACAGATAACCCTCCCAGTTGTGCTCAGGGTGACACCTGGCAAAGGGCACCAGGACTTTTGTCCCCAACACCGGGCTGCGGCCAGAAAGCTCTAGGATGGCCACACTGCGTGATATTCACAGTGGCAGTTAAAATAAGTCCAGGCATGCCTCATTTTATTGCGTCTCACAGATGTTGCTTTTTTTTTTTTTTTTACAAATCGGAGGCAAGATTTTCCACCAGCAAAAACATGACTCATGTGCTTTATTGCCATATTTCATTTTGTTGGTCTGGAACCAAACCCGCAATATCTCCGAGGGAGGCCTGTATAATGAGTCTATGTCACTTACAAAATACGTGAGGTTTAACAGCGTTCACGTAAAACGGGTGCGGAGCCTTTTTTTTGCCGAGGGCCATTTGGATATTTATAACATCAGTCAAAGGCCACACAAAATTACCAATTTAAAAATTAGCCTGCTAGCCCAGCCAGTGTGGCTCCATGGTTGCGCATCGATCTATGAACCAGGAGGTCACAGTTCAATTCCCGGTCAGGGCACATGCCCGGGTTGCGGGCTCGATCCCCAGGGTGGGGCATGCAGGAGGCAGCTGATCACTGATTCTCTCTCATCATTGATCTTTCTATCTCTCTCTCCCTCTCCTTTCCTCTCTGAAATCAATAAAAAAATATATTTTTTAAAAGTTAGCCTGCTATAGTTGGTCAGACATTTAATTGACTCCCTCCAAATGCCTTGGCAGGGCCAGACCAAATGATTTCACGGGCCTCATACCAGCCAAGGGCCGGACGTTCCCCACCCCTGGTGTAAAACAATCCTATGGGGGACATACTGTTATCACCGTTTTCCAGATGGGGAAACTGAGGACACTGAGGCCCAGAGAGGCGAAGTCAGTTGCCCAGCCTGTGCGTGGGGGAGCAGGGAGTTGAGCCCCCCTGACTCCAACCCCGGAACCATCACCCCACGCTGGACCTCTTGGCATCAACCCAATGGGAGACAGATGCCAACCTGGGTTCCCAGTTGACAGGGGGGCGTCTGAGAGGAGCCCAGGCCTGCTAATCATTACGTATTGTTCTCTTTATTATGAAACGTTTAAAAACATATACAAAGTAGCCCTGGGTGGTGTGGCCCAGTTGGCTGAGCATCGTCCCATCACCAAAGTTGCCAGTTGGACTCCTGGTCACACTGCCTGGGTTGCAGGTTCGATCCCCAGTAGGGTGTTTCTCTTTCGCATTGATGTTGTTTTTTCTCTCTCTCCCTCTCTCACCCTCTCCCTCTAAAATCAATAAAAACCTATTTGAATACATACGGTCAACTAACTAGATGTTGGTCAGTGGTCCTCAACCTTCCTAATGCCGCGGCCCTTTAATACAGTTCCTCATGTTGTGGTGACCCCCAACCATACAATTATTTTCGTTGCTACTGTAATGAATCAATGAAACGTTTAAAAACATATACAAAGTAGCCCTGGGTGGTGTGGCCCAGTTGGCTGAGCATCGTCCCATCACCAAAGTTGCCAGTTGGACTCCTGGTCACACTGCCTGGGTTGCAGGTTCGATCCCCAGTAGGGTGTATCGTCCCATCACCAAAGTTGCCAGTTGGACTTCTGGTCAGGGCACTGCCTGGGTTGCAGGTTCGATCCCCAGTAGGGTGTTTCTCTTTCGCATTGATGTTGTTTTTTCTCTCTCTCCCTCTCTCACCCTCTCCCTCTAAAATTAATAAAAACTTATTTGAATACATATGGTCAACTAACTAGAATGTATGATGCAGCCCCAGGTCAGTGGTCCTCAACCTTCCTAATGCCGCGGCACTTTAATACAGTTCCTCATGTTGTGGTGACCCCCAACCATAAAATTATTTCCGTTGCTACTTCATAACTGTAATTTTGCTACTGTTATGAATCGTCATGTAAATATCTGATATGCAGGATGTCTTTTCATTGTTACAAAGTGAACATAATTAAAGCATAGTGATTAATCACAAAAACAATATGTAATTATATATGTGTTTTCCGATGGTCTTAGGCGACCCCTGTGAAAGGGTCGTTCGACCCCCAGAGGGTCTCGACCCACAGGTTGAGAACCGCTGCCCCAGGTGCTGGTCATCCCGCTCCAACAGTTACCAACATTTTGCCATTCATGCCTCCCCTCTCCCCGCACCCACTACCACTGGATGATGGTGACTTTTTTTAGTTTTAAAGGTGAAATTTCATGTGTTATAGGGCACAAATCCTAGCTGTTAAATTTAAGTCCTTGCCACCGACACCGCATCACAGTGGAGATAAGGTCACTCCCCCCATCCATGTCTCTGTGTTACCAATGGAACAAACACACCCCGATAAATGGTTCTCGCGCAGTCTGGGGCCTCCTGGGACATCCCCTGTGGGTTTGGAGAGGCTGCTGGGGTCACAGCCCCTCCTGGCTGATCCCAAAGCGCAGGCCACGCCCCAGACTGGAGGCAGGAGGAGGGGAGATTTGGGAACCTGGCTGCGTCCTTGAAATGCCCTTGGGCACCTGTGAGAGCCTCCAGGCCAGGGGCGTGCACCTGGAATCCAGGTGGGACCCGGGGCCTGGTGGCAGCTGCTTTCTAGAGCTTTCTGGGTGAGGAGGAGGGGAAGCGGCCGGGCTCACGTTCCTCTTGTCCTGGCCACTTGCTCTTATCGCTTCGCATCTGACCGTGGCAGGCATTCCTAGAGCGATAACAAAAGCCTGCAGGAGCCAGTCACCAGCTCCTCTTATCTTGACATTGTTGCCATATTTGCGTCAGATCTTGAAAGAGAAACAATGCAAAGAGCATCTTCCGTGTCGTAGCGGTTGAGTGGGGGACTCCGGTTGAGTGGGGGACTCCGGCTCCCAGTGCAGCCTGGCCGCTGGCAGCGGAGGGGTCTTGGGCATTTTGCTAGCTGTTCGGAGCCTCAGTCTCTCATCTATGCAATGGGGCTAACAAAAGCCCCACCTGAAATGGGTTAATGCGCAGAGTGGTTTGCTTAAAACCCGTGCGAGCACACAGTGGGCCCGCATCAGCGACTCAGCGTCCGTTACAGCGAACCTCATCATTATTCACGGACTCTGCATCTGCGACTGCCCGCTCGCTAACATTGGTGACCCCCAGCTCTGCAATACACATGCTTCTTTCCGGGTCACTTGCAGACGTGTGCAGAGCCATGAAAAACGCACACCACGTGTGTGTCCAGTCGAGGCCCCGCCTGGTGTTCCTAAGGCCAGGGAGGCGGGATGTGCCCTGCAGGAAAGACTGTCAGCGAAGCGGCGCTCAGGCCTGCGCTAGCGTGCTGTGGGCTGCGTGTTCAGTGTAAACGACCAACAATTTGTATGAAATCAGGCGTCCTAAGACAGAGTCACAGGGAAAGCATGGGTCGGTGGAGGAAAGTGTGACGAGGCTTGTAGGGACCTAGTCCCTTGTGTGTCCTGGGAGCGGGGATTCGGGGTTCACGTTCAGTGTTCCTGGCAGCGTTGGAACAGAAGTCCCACGGACGCCAGCATTGGCTGGATTTGTTAGACTGATGTGCCAGTAAATGCTGTTGTACAGTGTTACATACACTAGAGGCCCAACGCACGAAATTCTCGCAAGAGTGGGCCTTCCTTCCCCCGGCTGCCGGCACTGGCTTCCCTCGCAGCCCTGGCTTCGTCTGGAAGGTTTTCCGGAAGGACATCTGGTCTAATTAGCATATTATGCTTTTATTATTATAGATTATGTACCAGGTGTATCTATCCTGTGCTATGCATGTGTACGTACGGCACAGTATGTGTGTATATATGATCATGTATAGTGCTGGTTTATGTGGCTTTAAAGTGGATTTTAACCTCGTATCTTCAACCCTTCTGCTCTCTCTCCTGTCCCCATCCCGTTACTCCCCTCCCAGCGACATCTTTCTCCGTTCGCTGACTTTCTCACTCACAGCCTCTCTCTCGTTCTCTCTCCACAGCTGGCCCCCAAAAGGACACTCCCCAAGTCCCCTGCTGGGGGCCCCGTGTAGACCTGGAGCGGACACCCCCTCCTTCCCTTCATGATTCGTTTGTAGCACAGGTAACCAGCGGGAGGGGGTCCCCATGCTCCCCCAGTTCACCCTCCTGGGCCCACCTAGGCCCCTGGGCTGGGAAGGGACATTCCGTCTTGGCAGAGCCTGCAGCCTCTCTTCTCCAGCCGGGCCCCTGGGCCATGTGGGCACCCCCCCCCCCCCCCCCCCCCCCCCAGGCGCTCCCTCCTGCTTTCCCCAGCTTCTTTGCAGACCTTGTCTTTCCATCCCCCGCCGGGCCTTGTCCCGCCTCCTGTGGCTGGTAGAGAAGGGCAGGGGCTTGTAGGCCACAGAACTGGCGACACGGGAGGAAGACAGACAGGTGGGGCTGGACACGGAGTCAGAGATAAGCCACCGCCACTAAGTGCAGCAAAGCCGAGGAAGGGCCCGCTCTGGGAGGGGAGTGAGTGGCACGTGGGGCTCTGGGGTGCGCACGTCCGCGTTGCCTGCCCTGTTGTAGACCTGGCTTGCCCGCTGGGCCCGTGCACTGTGCGTGTGCGTGTGTGTGCGTGTGCGTGTGTGTGTGTGTGTGTGCGCGCGCGCATGTGCACCATGAATCCTGGGAAATATGGGTAGAGTTTTAGGCCACACACATGCTTCTGGCAGCAGTGTCTCACCTTCATCAGCTTCTCCCAGACCCTATTCAGAGAGGACCCTCACCCAGCTCTGAGAGGGCCCATCTGCCTCTGCTTGTATCACAGAGCAGTTGGGGGCCACGGGAGCTGATGGCGATTGGGAGGTCTCAGTGAGGGTTGCTCGGAGCACGCTGTGTGGGCGAGGGGCTGGGGACCAGCCGAGCGAGCATGTGAGACTAGGTATGTGGGTCCACGGCAGTAACGGCGTCTTTGGGGAGGTTCAGAGAACCTCTAAGAAAAGAGGGCCCTGGGCTGCAGCGCGGAGGGACTGGGCATGGTTTCTCTGTCCTCCGAGCATCACTGGGAAGGAAGGATGGGCAGGGAAGGCTGGGTGGATTGCGCAGGAAGGAGAGAATGATGGATGTTCGAGTGGCACTTTGGCCAGATGGACAGGGGGAAGCTTGGAGGGATGGAGGGTGTTAGGAAGGCTTGGTGGGCTGGGGGTGGATGGGCGGATGCAGAGAACTTCCGGTCCCTGGCCTGTAGGGCGGGGCTAACGGCATCCCTCCCTGTCCTGGGGTTGGACAAGCTAACTAGCGCTTGGGACGGGGCCTGGAGCAGTGTAAGTGCTCAGCACATGTCAGCCACCTTCATCCTCATCCTCATCCTCATCATGCTGGTGGGCTCAGCCTCCATTTATTCATCTGCAGAATGGGAGTTGCAGGGCCCACCTGAGGGATGTTGGGAGGATGAGCTAAGAGAGTGTGGAGTGCTTAGCACCGGGCTGCTCAGGGTCAGGCTCGCTGATATCATCATTGTTATCAGATTCTGGGGACTGAGAGTGAGAGGGGAGGAGGGAAAGGCCTGGTCTGGCAGTTCTGCAGGGAGGGCACCCCCACCCATGCCCATGGGAACAGAACCCTGACCCCCCACCCCCACCCAGGGGCCTGACCCCGGGAATGGTCCTTGAAGGGAGGTCCTGGTATGCTGCTGAAATCTAACCTCTCTCCCTTGCCCTCTCCCTGCCCCGCCCGCCCCACCCAGTGGCGATGGATGATGAGGATGGGAGATGCTTACTAGACGTGATTTGGTGAGTAACTGGCTCCCCCCCATCCTCCTTTTCCCTCCCCTCCCCCACCCACCCCTTGCCTCCTCAGTGCCTCTTCCCTTCTCTCTTTCAGTGACCCTCAGGCCCTCAATGACTTCTTACATGGATCCGAGAAGGTGAGTGTTGGGCAGGGAGGTGTCTGGGGCAGGGGCTGTGGAATTGGGAACTGACATGTTCCCTGAGTCAGTAGACACCTACCCCTTGACTTCTGTGAGCTGGGCAGTGTGGTTGTGGAGGAGAGCAAAAGAGATGGCAAATCCCTGACCTCACGCCATACACATTTCCTTGGTCAACAGAGTAACCAATAAAGGTGACCGTGGAAAGCACCGTGCAGAATAGGACGAGAAATAATAGTGTCACTTGCACAACAAAAGAGGTTTGAAAGGAAATGAACGGGGGGTGGGGGCAGGGGCTTCTTTAGCCAGTATGGTCAGGGAGAGTCACTCTAAGGAGGTGACAGTGAAGGTGAACCTGAAGGTGCCACGGTGCTCTGGGCAGCCAAGAGCAGGTACAAAGGTGGGAAAAGTTGGCATGGTTGAGGAACAGAAAGAAGGCTGGTGGGGCTGGACCGAAGGGGAGACTGGTAGGAGGTGAGGCTGGAGGTGAGAAGAGTCACCTGGTCATGCAGAGCCCGGAAGACCTGGATCCAGGAGTTAAGGTTTTATTTTGCATGCGACAGGCAGCTCTGGCGTGTTATCAAGCAGGAGAAAGCCATATTCGATCATCACCCCAGAGAGTGGGACAGAGCAGGGGGGAGTGGAAGTCTGTTGATCCACGAGGAGTTGTGTCAGTCATCTAGGGCTGCGTAACAAATCGTCCCGACGCTTGGTGACTTAAACCAACACGTTAGAGCTCTAGCAGTTTGTGAGGGTCAGGAGTCAGGGAGCGGCTTAGCTGGGAGTCTGGCTTGGGGTCTCTCCGGGGGTTGCAGTTAGGTGTTGGCTGGGGCTGCTGTCGTCTGAGGGCCTGTGTGGGGCCGCAGCTCCTCACCACGGGGATGTCTCCTTGGGATGCTACTTAAGTGTCCTCACGACTCGGCAGGTGGCTCTCCCAGAGCGAGGGACCCAAGGGTGGAAGCTCAGTGCCTTTTATGGCCTAGTCTCCGAAGTCACACATTGTCACTTCCGTCAGATTGTATTTGCTAGAAGCAGGTCACAGGTCACGGAGCCAGCCCACACCCGTAGGGAGGGAAAGGAGAAGCGAGTGCAATGGGATGACGAGGGCCCGGGCCCCGGGGCAGGGGTGAGGAGGGCCAGGCGCTGGTGGGGTCTGTGTGGGAGGCAGTGTCTGGAATGCCTCCTGAATTTTGGCCTGAGCAGCTGAGCGGGCTGTGATCCGGGTTTCTGTGATTGGGAGTTTGGCGTGGATTCCAGGGATCCAGGGAGGGCTGTTGGATATAGTCTGTGGCTCTGGAGAGACACCCGCTGGAGAGGTTGGCGAGGAGGCCACCTCGGCTGTGGACAGTCACTGGGCGCTTATGGATCCAGGCTCTGTCCTAGGTCCTGAAGGCGCTCCTAGAAACCAGCCCGTCCCTGCCTCCCAGAGACAGTGCCGTGCAGGGTGGGGGCCTGGCTGGGGGGACGTGCCGGGTACTTGGAGGGACTCAGTGGGAAGGGACCGAGAGTTGTTGTGAGGAGGTGGCATATATGACAAGCCCTGAAGGATGCGTTACCAGGGGGAAAGGCAGGATTCTGTCATCGCCGCAGCCATGATGTCAGGAGAGCCTTGGAAGCCAGGCTGAGGGACCCAGTGCTGGGGACGTCTTGCCCCCCCGCCTCCTCTTTGTCTTTTTGCTCTAGAGCAGGGCTGGTTTACCGTCCAGCTGACCTTTGACCTTGGGTGGGGGCTGGTCTTGTTACAGCTCGACGGTGACGACCTCCTGGATAATCCTGGGGAGGCCCAAAGTGCCTTCTATGAAGGTCCTGGGGTAAGTGCTCCGGGGCTGGGGGAGGGCGCAGGCTCCCAGTCATCTCCCAGGCCGTCCACAGCGCAGCCAGTGGGAGGGAGGCCACGAAGGCAGGAGGGAGGGGTCACATGACACTCATCCCCATGATGCACTGTGCTGGGCGGAGGGTGGGAGGCAGTCAGAGAGCAGGGTGGGGAGGTGGGCCTCTGCTGTTGGAGCACCTGGCTGGGCCCTGGCCTGGGGGGGTCCTTGGGGGTCAGCGATGCAGAGCTGTTCTAGGGAGTTGAGGCAGATGCTGGCTCTGGGGTTCACCGGGGAATACTCCTCTGGGAACAGGCCCTGGAGGCCTGTCCCTGCTCAGCTGTTGGGGGGTGACCCGGTGGGGGAAAGGGATCAACTGATACGGACCTCAGTCTCCATCTGAAAAGTGAATGTGGGGTGATGGACAAAGCCCAGAGTGGACGCCACAGTGGTCATTTATTGAGCACCCACTGTATGCCTGGCTGTGCTGGACCCATTACTGACTGTCCTTGTCTTCCTCTTCTTCCTCTCCTGCTGCTTCTGCCTCCCTCCTCCTCTCCCCTCCCCCCTTTTCCCTCCTCCCTCTTCATCATCATAACTGTCACTCACTGAACATGTATTCTGTGCCAGACCCTTAAAGTAATTTTCATTTCGTTCTCACAACTATAATAATATATTCTGAATGAGTTATCTTTCGTAACATAAATGATTACATCCAGAACCCAACAAATACACATCATTTCATGTTATTGCCTTTATAGACCTGGAACAGTGAGCCTATATTCTTACTCCGTGATCATTATTCTCATCGCTGCTGTCATTGTTCAGTGCCCACACGGTCCCTGGTTGGGCTCCACGCACCTCCCCTACTTGATGTCGGGGAGTGTCACGACCACCCTAGGAAGCTCTCTGGTCAAATAGCCGTTTGCCGCAGGACCTTCCTATCTGGATTCCATGCCATGAGCATAATTACTGCCTGTGGGATATTTGTTCAAATACTCACACACGTATTTATTCCCACGTGTCCTGGGTTATGCATGGAAAGTACTTAAGAAATGTCAGAGTCCAACCAGTGTGGCCCAGTGGTTGAGCATCGACCCATGAACCAGGAGGTCACGGTTTGATTCCCAGTCAGGGCACATGCCCGGGTTGTGGGCTCGATCCCCAGTAGGGAGGTGTGCAGAAGGCAACCGATCAGTGATGCTCACCATTATGTTGCTCTCTCTCCCCCTCTCCCTTCTTTTCTCTGAAATCATTAAGAAGAAATGTGGGACTCAGCGCATGTGGCACAAACTAAGGTTTGTGTGCAGTAGCAGCTGCTGCTGTTATGTTTATGGTGGTTATTATTTTTGTTTTTTAATCCTCACCCGAGGGCATGTTAATTGAATTTTAGAGAGAAAAACATCAATGTTAGAGAAAAACATCAATCGGTTACCTCCTATATGCGCCCCGACTGGAGATCGAACTTTATTCCAGAGAGGAAGGGAGAGGGAGAGAGAGAGATAGAAACATCAATGATGAGAGAGAATCATTGATCGGCTGCCTCCTGCATGCCCCACACTGGGGATCGAGCCCGCAACCCAGGCGTTTGCCCCAACCGAGAATCAAACCGTGATCTCCTGGTTCATAGGTTGACTCTCAACCACTGAGCCACTCCAGCTGGGCTCCATTGCTTTTTAGAGAGAGTGGAAGGGAGGGAGAAAAGCGGAGAGAGAGAGGGAGAGAAAGAGAAACATTGATGTGTGAGAGAGTGAGGGAGACATCAACTGATTGCCTCCCAGGCGTGCCCCGACCAGAGGTGGGGAGCGAACTGGGAATCGAACCTGCGACCCTTCGGTGCTTGAGCCGGCGCTCTAACCATTGAGCAACCAGCCAGGGTGAACCATGATCTTTTGTCTGAAACCTTCGGGGCAGGTATTTTTCAGATTCTGGAAAGGTGATGCAGGTCAGTGTGTGCTGCTCATAGCAACAGGCCACTCGTTCACCTTTCCGTGGCCAGGCTTCAGAAGGGTCCCGTCACGTGGGTAAATGATGCCTTTCCCCAAGAGCGCCCATGGGTGCTGGTCAGGTTTTGCTTCCACCACGTTATAAAAGCATCCATGTTTTTCAGAGCCTCTGGGGTTTGGGAGGTGCAGGTGAGAATCAAGGGCCTCGTAGGGCTGTTCAGTAAATGGTTTTTGTTCTACTGATGTGTGCAGTGGGGATAGAGGCCACGTTAAGCAGGCTCCCTGCTAAGCCCTGGGGAGCTGGGAGCCCACCCGCGTCCAGCCACCTCCAGAAGGAATGTTCTCTCTGTGCCCCCCTGGCACCTCGTGTCTGTTGCAGCCGTGCCCTGCGCCGGCCCTTTGCTCATCTCAGGCCTTTCCTTCCCATCTTATCTGGCCTCCAGCTCCACGTGCAAGAAGCTTCTGGCAACCACTTGAACCCGGAGCCTAGCCAGCCAGCCCCCAGCGTGGACCTAGACTTCCTGGAGGATGACATCCTGGGCTCGCCCTCCGCAGGGGGCGGCGGCGGCGG